CCATGTGCCATGATTTAGTTAGTTGTTGACCACACCCACTAGCTTATTTTAACTATCATTATAACTATGCAGTCCATAATAATGATTTTTTTCAAATTGCTTAAAATATCACAGTACAAGTAATACATATCACTCAAGTGAATTCCAGCAGGCGAGTCCATTGCACCATAGTGCTTCATTTTAATAGAAGTACAGTCCACTGGTGTAAAGAAAGCTGTAACATATGCTGGTCTGGTTTATTATGAGGAAGATGGCGTAGAGGATCTGGTGACATTCACTGCAGCTAAGAATTTGGAAGCACTCGTTAATGTAAGAATGTGTTCCTATACACACAATGTGTTTATTATTATTTGATAGTATATTGAACAGAAACACTCTCAAGCTAAAGATGGACCAGATATTTCCTTTAGTTTCAAGCTCCCTTATGATTATATTGAATTAAACTTGACTGCCCAACAGGATGAACCATTCAATGGATGGATACTTAGACCTCACACTAAACCCACCAGAGTAAGCTATACTGTTTATAAGATTACATGATATTATACATGTATATACAGTTATATCAAGAGGCCATTGATAAATTTGGTGATAAAGAGCATTCTCGTCCTTCATGTTGTCTCATATCAGTTTACGGATCACCTGATGCTGTCCCTTTTCTTAATTACTTCATACCACTGGAAGGTGTGGCTCGTCCAGTTTCATTAAACATTCATAGAGCACGAAGAAATTTCACTGTTACTGTTCCTCCTTCAACAAGTAATAGATACAAATTATTATTTTTTTTATTTATTATTAATCAGATCCTACTACCTCCTCCTCATCTAATGTACATGAATCAACTGCATTATCCACCGGAGGAGCTAGTAAGTATTACTGTATGTGCATGTGTTACTTATGATGTCTATTGTTTAGTTGCTCCTAGCAGTAGTGGCAATGATGAAACTATTCCAGTACCAACTAAAAGAAGAAGAGAAGGAAGTACATGAACACAACATGTTATGACTAGCTATTGACTTATCAGTTATAGGTTTTGATATTAAAACAGCTAAAAAAAAGATCAAACAAGTTATGGTTGAGAATAACACTGATTTTGCTGGACTCCTCCAGTTTTCTCTGGTCCATGTTGCTAACAAACTATTCGAGGTTCATATGATTCCTCCTGAGGTTCAACAGTCACCAACTTATGATGCCATAGCTACATGTTTTCTATCTATGATGAATATATTGGACTCTAAGTCTGATCTTGAGGAACATTGTATGACATTTTTAGAGGCTCTGTCTAGTGTTGGGGGACCAATAGAACGTGTCGCTAAACGCTTGCAGGAAAAATGGACAGCAGCTCTGCAGGAGGGTACACTTCAGTTTGAACAGTCTGTGAAAAGAGTTAGAACTAATGATGAATGATGCTGCACTTAAATAATTTAAATTTTTAGCTAATGTTATTTTCTATTTTAAAATGTTGTATTTATGTAATGTTCCACTGTTCTGGTTCTTTCCTTTCACATTTTTGAAATACTAATTTAAAAGACTCCAATGAAGTGGGTGTGGCTCATAAATTTTAATTTATAAAATGGAGGAAAAGTGTAACGAAACTGAGACTGAACAAAACAGCATCTCCTGCCAAAGCCATGGAGCCTAAAGAACTAATACCCTGGACCCGCCATTGTCATTACTGAGGATAGGTAAATGTAGAATTAATTAAGGAGGATATACATTATTATAACTATAATTAAATAATGAGTACATGTTCATTCAAAAGTTTATACTCCAATAAG